TCCCGGGCTCCAGCTGCACTGGGGAAGCGCCGGCCGGGGGCGCAGGGTCTGGAGGCTGCCCGGCAAACCGTAAAGCCGGTAGCAGTCGGGCAGCCCTTTTTGCGTGGCTGGGAGGGAGGAGGGGGGAGTTAGGGGCCGGGGACTTTGGGGAAGGGGTGGGGAAAGGGCAGAGCTGGGGTGGGGCCGGGGTGAGAAAGGGGCGGTGCTAGGGCCCGTGGAGTGTCCTCTTTTTTTATTTTTAAATATGGTAACCCTAAATAATATAAAGACATGGAAGTAGGAAGGGGCCAATTCATTAAGCTGTTCCCAATGCAGAGGAACCCCTTAAATTCCTTCCTAGTACTGGTTATATTGAGACTGCTGAGTTCCAGGATATCCAAAGGGTTATTCTGCCCCTGAGGCCCTACCACCAGGTCTGGTTCAGACTCAGTCACCAAACCTGGAGCTGCAAAGGGTGACAGGTCATGCGGGCCATACCCAACCAGGAACTACTGAAGTGTTTGCTGTTTGTACTCTAGTGCACATGGTGTGGAGCATGAGCTGCTTTGTGCTGATAAAAACTCAGAAACCAAGTCCTCTAATGAAACATGTTGTTTCTCCACATATTCCTCCTAGAAACCTCCATCCCTTACTGAAGATTCCTTCCATAACCAGACATCTCCACCCGATGGAATTGATGCCCTCTTCAGAGAAGGTGATAGCAGAGCAGCTTCAGGAGGTGTGGTGGGAAAAGAAAGTCGCACATTAAACCTGGGGCCTTGCAACTGCAGAGGGGAGGGCTGGGGGGGGCGCGCTGAACTGAGGGGCTTCACAGTGGGGACTCAGATTTCCTTGAAACAGCCATGCCAGTTCCAGTCGAGCTATGGAGAGACAAGCGGTGAAGACAGTGGAGTAACAGCCTGCAGGACCCCGAGGGAGGAGAAAGAGATACAGGCTGCTAAACTGACACCAGCCAAAAGTTGGCCGCATTTTCTTTGAACCATGAAGGAATAGCACAGGCAAGTCAGACGTGACCATGTTAAAGGAGCCATGAGAAAATAAAAACAAGTGACAGCTGACTCTTGAAGTGCTTGTGGGGGTGGGGCGAGAAAGAGAGGAGAGAGAGAGAGATCAAAATATTGGGGGAAGGGCAGTCTGCAACCCAGGAGCCTTCTGCAGCAGCAGATGGAGAGGAAAGTTACTGCTGATTCCTGCAGAGTCCGGGAAGTAAAGAGACAACATGTAATAATGAGGTGATCTCAGAAATAGACAACCAGGGGCAAGAACAAAAAGAGGACGCAGGAGAGAGAAACCCAGAACTGTGCACCAGGGGCTCTTCTCTCAGGCGTTGCTGCTGTGAGTATTGCTTGCTGGCTAGATGGAAGTTTCAGGCAGAAGGCCTGCCAAGGAGACTAGAAGAATGGGTCAGAGTGAGGCTTTGGTGGGAGTAGATGAGAGATAGGGGAGACCATGATATGGGGAAGTTTGGGGAGGATGGAAGAGAATACTGTTTCTTGATGCCACAGAATAAGGGATTTCTCCTTCCTCAGCCCCAGTAATTAGGGACAAAGTGGAAGGGCCAGGTACCATGGAGAGCCTAATTCCCCTCACCCTGGGTTTTGGATTGAGTTTCCTTTAACTGACCATGGGACACAGCAGCAGAGATTGAAATTGCGTTGTCTGCCTTTATGGCAGCAGCGATTGCACACTACGGTGCAGACGATTCCTGTTACCACAGACACTCTTGTTATGATTGACACCTCAGGGTTAGTTCAAGGTCGCTGTTAGAACATCGCCGTTTATTTGAATGACAGAGTCAGTCCATGACCACAGGCCAGGGCTAATTAATTAAGAGCCCAATTCCATCATTTAGGTAGAGGCTATAATAAGGGATGATGCAGAGCCATTGCACCCCACAAGGAGTTTGAGTAGAAATTCTCACTCAGGGAGATTCTTCCCTGAGCTCTCCTGCACTCACGCAGCGCACATCCACTCATACACCCCTTCATGGATTCAAGGCAGATTATTTTCCTTGCCCCTTTTTGGGCACAATGGTATCCCAGGGAACTAGGGCCTGCAGGTGTGCCTAGCTATTATATGGGCCATAAAAGGGGGAAGAGGAGGTGATGATAGGCTCCTTGAGACCCATCAGGCCATAATTTAGAGAATAATAGATGGCAAACAGACTTTTGATTGGAAGAATATCATTTTAAAATACGGTGGGAAAAAGGTTAGGCCACAAGCCTCTATAATAACTAACTTCTTTTGCAATATAAAATAACATATCTAACAACTGAAAAAATTCTTTAAAATGGGGAACATTGATACAGATCTAGGCTGGCTTTGTAACTTAGTAGTTTGCACTTTTAAACAGGTGTGGTGGGACTGTACCAAGTCCAGATTTTGGGGAACAAATATTCAGAGAAAGCAACCTGATCCTAGAGCCTCTACACACATTACAATGTCTCCTGCTTTGCCTGGCTTGGATAACATCCCATTGTCGTGTGTCAATAGTAAAGAACCACAGCAAAAGTCACTTTCTTCTAACACTGAACAAGGAACTGTATTAAAAAAGTATAATCCCTAAAGCTACACTATCTCTCTCTTACTTTTTCACTATAGAGCTATTGCCTGGAATCTTTTCAGGTTGCCATAATATGTAGGTCTACCAACCCAGGTAGACAGACTTGTGCTAGTTTGGTTCGGACTAACATGATAAAAATATCAGTGTGAATGTTGCCGCACTAGTGGAGGCTCAGGCTAGTCACCCAACCTTGGACGCACTTGATCCCCCTGGGGCTGAGCTTAGGTTGCTAGCCTCAGCCTCCGGCAGTGCTGTAATGTCCACGTGCTATTTTTAACATGGTAGCTCGAGCTGAGCTAGACCGTATCTGACTACCTGGGCTGGGAGCCATGCTCCCAGTGCAGTCTAGACATACCCTTAGGTGACCAAACTGCCCAACTAAATATTCTTTATACCTTATTGACCCATTGGGTTATACTGAAGTGTATTCTGTTTTGCGTAATTATATGACCTCCCCCTGTAATATTTTTTTCTATTGTTATGTGATTCTAAACTTGTGTACAATTTTCACGTATCCAAGTGACTTAGGAGCCTAAGTCCCAATAAAAGCTTTTATGTTGTCAATGTTCACCATATCATTCATGTATCTGCACAAGCACACAGCCTATTTCTTTGACTCTTCCCTCTACAGTAAACATTAAAGATTTGCAGGTTGCCCACTTGAGAAATGGGAAGTTGGATCTTGTGGCATAGATGTTGGAGTGGGCCATTTTAAATAAATCAAAAGGCAAGTCAGGAGTAGCCTGCGTGTGTCATGTCTGAGAAGGCTAGGCTTTGCATCTAGAGATAAGATACAACATGATACTGATATTTACAAGGATACACACACACACACACACACACCCCTGTTCCAATGGTGCCTCTGGCAAAGAAGCTGGAATTCCTGGAAGGATTCCCGATACACTAAGAATATCCAACGATTTTGAAGCCTAATGCAGAAGCAAGTTAGATGCCTTACACAATGTACATTTCTTTTTTGGGTAAATAAATACGATTAAAACACTGTTCTACATTTTCCATTAGTTTCTCTCAATAACTGTGGTTCATAACTTACTTAGGCCCAAAGTCTACAAATACTCCTGTGGTGTGTCCAACACAATGGGGCCCTGATCTTAATTGAGTAATGTAAATATTAAATAACAGTAATACCTTGTGCTTTTGTCTGGGATCATGAACAGACAGAAAAAGATGCAACTGACACTAATTCACTCTCCTATACCTTGAACAACTTACAGTTGTAAATTTTTAAGAATATATATTTTATAGACTACCAAATGCCTCTTGTGCAAGTGGCCATAACTAAGTAAAATATATATATAATGAATTCATCATTCCATTCCATTCTATGACTGTCTAATCCAGGCCAGGATTTAGAAAGACCCATTGTGGTGACACTAGGCACCACACTGTGAGAGTCAATGTGGGAGCTAGACAGCTAGAAAAAAACTACAGCTTTGGTCTGTGTCCAGTAGCCTAAATAAAAAGTTTCCTTTACATTTATTACAGCAGAGTCCTATGTCTTCTCTACCACAAATATGCACTACAGTATAAATGCATACACTTTGCTGATGCAACATTAAAGTTGCACTGTGAAAAGCTCAAAGACGGGAAATACAAAAATTAAGCTTCCAACAATAATGTTACATCAGCCAAATTGCTCTTTTATGTGTCTCATGGCCTATATTCACTATTGCCAGCCCCAAACATTCAAAAATCATGAGTTGGGACCCCCAAAACTCATAAAATTGGCTTAAAAATTGTGAGGGTTTTTTTTTTTTAAGAAAAAAAATAAATTTGAGGGTCTTTTAATTTGGTTCCTTGTTTCTGAGCCTTTACTTTACACTTCAGTCATGTTTTCAAACTTTTCTCTACAACCATGATGGTTAGAAACTTATTTTATTTTAGAAAAAAGAAAGCTGAAATTCTTACATATTCACATGATTCCAGGGGCTGGGACTTTACGTAATAACCAAATATCATAAGATTCATGATGAAATTGCAAGAGTGGACAACGCTGTACATTTTACAAGATAAACAATAATATTAATCTACACATTAAGCCAGAAAAAGAGGCATTGAAAATATACCTTATGTGCAATGCCTCTGACTTAACATTTGCATTTCCTAACTTTCTGTGATATTAACTGTTTGCCATTACCACACCATTATTAATATAGTTTTATGAACTTAATTTCCTTGGCTTAAAAAAGAGAGAGAAAAAAATGTTAGCTTAACTTTAGCATTTCAGTGGTTCCAAAAAAGCATGGAAGTTCATGCCTCTCAGAGATGAATGAAGTGGGGAATGATGAATTCCCACTATGGTTAATACCCACACTGCTAATTGGACAGAGGTCACTTCCTGCAAGACTGGATTAAACATGACATCAGCACACTGGCTTTCACTGAAATAGCTGGGCCTTTGCAAGGGCGGGGGGGGGGGGAACCTTTAAAAACAAGAAAAACAACAATAATTTAGGATCTACAGAATATTGTAGATGAAAGTGAACATCACAGACCAAATCTAAAATCGACTTACATTCATGCTACTACTAGTGTGTCCATGAGTGTTGCACCTATCTGAATGCAGAATTGTTCTCAGGAGGGATCCATCATTTGTAGGCACCTATGAGTGTCCTCACTGCTGATGTTAGGAGAGTTTTTTTGAGCATCCTGATCATTTTTTTAAATCTTTGTGCCCTGGTGTGTAGAGCCCTGAGCAGATAGAAATTTATATCCACAGATGCAGATATCCATGGATATAAATCAGTATCTGCGGAACTGCAGGGCTCTCCCGGGAACCATAGTGGTGAAAGGAGCCGAACGTGGGGCCGCCACTCCCAGGAGCCAGCGCCCTGCGCCAGCAGCTCCTCGGGCACAGTGGTACCGCCCCAGCCCCGCCCACTGGGGCAGGCACCAGGCTCACTGGCAGCTGCCCCTGGTCGTGCTCTTGTGTTCGGGCAGCGCCCATGCCCACAGACAGGAGACGCAGACAGCTGCATGGAAAGGACGGGGGCAGGGCTGGAGGCGGAGGTGGGGGCGGTACAGCCACAGCGGAGGAGCTGCCAGCACGGTGCACTGGCTCCTGTGAGTGGCAGCCCCATGTTCTGCTCCTTTCACCACTGCCCTGCAGTTCTGTGGATACCGATTTATATCCACGGATATCCGCAACCATGGATATAAATGTGTATCCGCGCAAGGCTCTATTTGTCTGTAATTCAATGACATACAGATGATCTCCATAGGCAAACTGTCTCCAGAACAGCCCCCGGAGCTGCCAGAACTGGGTGGGAATTATGACCTCTGTAAAGCCATCAAGGAGGCTGGCCTTCAGTAGAGTCGTTAAAATCTTAGGAGATGAGACCAAGCATAGTTGGAGTCATTTTTCAGTCACAGCATCTTTCATTTGTTTGTCCTCTTCAAACCAAGCAAAGCACCAATCCTTAGTGAGGACTACGTCCATGGTGACTTCACTCATTTTTGCTGTAGCATTTTGACTAAGCCCTGAAGCATGAGGATTTAAATCTCTTTCAAACAGAGTTTGGGAAGGGCTACAAAACCTCATGCTTCCTAATTTAAACCAATCTCTACTTTAGGAGTTAGGAGGAAATTTTTCTGGGGGCTGATTATCCCATAGCTCCCTATTGTGTAGGGTTACCATATCTAACAAATAAAAAAAGAGGACCCTCTACGGGCCCTGGCCCCGCCCATTTCCCCACCCCCCTGCCCCGCCCCAACTCCGCCCCTTCCTCGCCCTAACTCCGCCCCTCCTCCCTCCCACTCCCAGCCACGCAGAAAGGGCTGCCCGAGCGCTATCGGCTTCACGGTTTGCCGGGCAGCCCCCAGACTCTGCGCCCCCGGCCAGCGCTTCCCCAGCGCAGCTGGAGCCCGGGAGGGGAAGCGCCCAGCCGGGGGCGCAGGGTCTGGAGGCTGCCCGGCAAACCGTGAAGCCGGTAGCGCTTGGGCTTCGGGTAGCCCCCTTGCCTCCGGACCCTGCGCCCCCAGCCGGACACTTCCCCTCCCGGGCTCCGGCGGCGCAGGGTCCGGTGGCATAGGGGCTGCCCAAAGCCCGTAGCGCTCGCCTCTTAAACAGAGCCGAAGAGTC